CTGTAACATTTGACGCTGTAACATTTGACTCTGTAATATTTGACTCTGTAACATTTGACGCTGTAACATTTGACACTGTAACATTTGACTCTGTAACATTTGACGCTGTAGCGTTTGGCTCTGTAACATTTGAGGCTGTAACGTTTGGCTCTGTAACATTTGACATTGTAACATTTGACACTGTAACATTTAACTCTGTAACGTTCGACTCTGTAACGTACGACTCTGTAACATTTGACACTGTAACGTTCGACTCTGTAACGTACGACTCTGTAACATTTGACACTGTAACGTTCGACTCTGTAACGTTTGACACTATAACGTTTGACTCTGTAATGTTTGACTCTGTAACATTTGACACTGTAACATTTGTCGCTGTAACATTTGACGCTGTAACATTGGACTCTGTAACATTTGACGCTGTAACAGTTGACTCTGTAACATTTGACACTGTAACGTTTGACACTGTAACGTTTGACACTGTAACGTTCGACTCTGTAACATTTGACACTGTAACGTTCGACTATGTAACGTTTGACTCTGTAACATTTGACACTGTAACGTTCGTCTCTGTAACGTTCGACTCTGTAACATTTGACACTGTAACGTTCGACTCTGTAACATTCGACTCTGTAACGTTTGACTCTGTAGCGTTTGCCTTTTTAACGTTTGACTCTGTATCGTTTGACTCTGTAACGTTCGACTCTGTAACGTTTGACACTGTAACGTTTGACTCTGTAACGTTCGACTCTGTAACATTCGACTCTGTAACGTTTGACTCTGTACCATTTGACACTGTAACGTTTGACACTGTAACGTTCGACTCTGTAACGTTTGACACTGTAACGTTTGACACTGTAACGTTTGACACTGTAACGTTTGACACTGTAACGTTCGACTCTGTAACATTTGACACTGTAACGTTCGACTCTGTAACGTACGACTCTGTAACATTTGACACTGTAACGTTCGACTATGTAACGTTTGACTCTGTAACATTTAACTCTGCAACATTTGACTCTGTAACATTTGACTATGTAACGTTTGACGCTGTAACATTTGACGCTGTGACATTTGACGCTGTAACATTTGAGTCTGTAACATTTGACGCTGTAACAGTTGACTCTGTAACATTTGACACTGTAACATTTGACGCTGTAACATTTGACTCTGTAACATTTGACTCTGTAACGTTTGTCTTTTTAACGTTTGACTCTGTAACGTTTGACTCTGTAACGTTTGCCTTTTTAACGTTTGACTCTGTAACGTTTGACTCTGTCATGTAACGTGTGACTCTGTCACGTTTGACTCTATAACTTTTGTCTTTCTAACGTTTGACTCTGTAACGTTTGACTTTGTCATGTAACGTGTGACTCTGTGACGTTTGACTGTATAACATTTGACCCTGTAACGTTTGTCTTTTTAACGTTTGGCTGAAACATTTGACTCTGTCATGTTGTTGTCTGTAATGTTAAACCCTATAATGTTACAGGCACTGTTACGTTTGAAACTGTAAAGTTTCACATTAACACGTTTGGTACTATAACGTTTGACACTGTTACATTTGAAACTATAACGTTTGACACTGTTACGTTTGACACTGTTACGTTTAAAACTATAACGTTTGACACTGTTTCATTTGAAACTATAACGTTTGACAGTGTAACGTTTGACACTATAACGTTTGACACTGTTATGCTTGAAATTATAACGTTTGACAGTGCAACGTTTGACATTAACACGTTTGACACTGTTACGATTGACACTATAACGTTTGACACTGTTATGCTTGAAACTATAACGTTTGACAGTCTAACGTTTGACACTGTTACGTTTAACACTATACGTTTGACACTCTTACGTTTGAAACTATAACGTTTGACACTCTTACGTTTGACAATGTTACGTTTGAAACTATAGCGTTTGACACTTTTACGTTTGACAATGTTACGTTTGAAACTATAACGTTTGACACTCTTACGTTTGACAATGTTACGTTTGAAACTATAACGTTTGATACTGTTATGCTTAAAACTATAATGTTTGACAGTGTAACGTTTGAAACTGTAACGTTTGACATTAACACGTTTGACACTATAACGTTTGACGCTGTTGCGCGTGAACCTATAATATAATGTTTGATTTTCCTATCAGACAAGTTAGGTTACAAAACTTAGTCATATGATACGAGCTCAAAATCGAGAAAACTAGGAAAAGATATGAAAAAGGAAAGATAATTATGGAGAGTTTTTAGAAATATAATGGGAATAAAACCAGGTGTTCCGAGGGGTTAGCGTTCTCTTCTTCATCGACGACATACGTGATGGAATTCTAAGTCAAATCCAAGTAATGCAAAGTCTTCTTAGCGAGAACTATTGTAGTGAAAAAACATGGGACAGAAATGAGTATGATAAAAACAACATCGACCTTTTTATCACACAAAGAATAGCATATTTCCCAATGATATCTATGTAACTATCGAGAAAGGGAAATTTCACGATCAGAATATAGAAATCGTCCTATAATCGTAGTGATGAGCTGTCCCTGTTGGTCATGTTGTAAGTAAATATCGAGAAAACAGCTGAATTATTGTGATTAATTTATTTCAAGTTCAGGAGGGCACAAGCTCTTATAGTCATTAAATTTCTTGTTACTAAGCAGCACACATTCGATATATCTTGATCTGAAATTTGAGGAATTGGCTCTGTTTTTGTTAAGAGTCCTGACAAGTTCATCAATAAATTCAGCCTAGTATGAAAACAACAAGTCAGCAAGAAGAAGGACATTGGTTGCTGCCATAGGGATTTGCATGGTCTGATTGAAAAACTTGCCAGCAAACTCAACAAAGATATTGTCAATCAGGAACTCAATCATTTTCACAAAATCATCCTCTGTATATTTAAGTTTGGTTTTTGTTCTGATTTTCGCAAATTAACATCATTTTTTTTTCTCTGATCCAATGCCAAATAGCATGAATGTTTAACTCTGATCCAATAATAATAATAATAATAAATAATATACAACATTAATTTTGATATAGCGCCCTATCTAGCTAACATAAGCCACTCTAAAGCGCTTTACAGTACATAGATATACAATTGTATACAGTCAATACAATTAGCATATATATTAATCAATGCAATATTGAGGAATTCGCAGGAGCTGCCTTATCAGGCGCTAACTACTAGTCCTATGTCACCTGGCTAATGTCTCCCTATGTGTGTATGCCTGTGTGTGTGCTGGAGATGTATTTTGTTCTGTTTGTAGCGGGACCGTGCTTCCAACGGTATCATTTATAGTGCCACCTCACTTGAATGCTACAGCACAGATACCACAACACCCACCCCAGACCATTTTATACTCCACCTGGGTTGTTGGAGTTGTGTGGGCAGGAGAAAAACACCTTCTCTAATATTCCATGTGTACGGCGACTTCGGGGATCGAACCCCGGCCGCCTGCTTGGAAGGCCGTAGTGTTAACCACTCAACCAATCCGCCCGTAATGACCCATTACATGGATGTTTAACTCCGATCCAATGCCCCATAGCGTGAATGTTTAGCTCTGATCCAATACCCCATAGCGTGAATGTTTAACTCTGATCCAATGCCCCATAGCGTGAATGTTAAACTCTGATCTAATGCCTCATAGCATGAATGATTAACTCCGATCCAATGACCCATAACATGAATGTTTAGCTCTGATATAATGCCCCATAGCATGAATGATTTACTCCGATCCGATGCCCCATAGCATGAATGTTTAACCCTGATCCAATACCCCATAGCGTGAATGTTTAACTCTGATCCAATGCCCCATAGCGTGAATGTTAAACTCTGATCTAATGCCTCATAGCATGAATGATTAACTCCGATCCAATGACCCATAGCATGACTGTTTAGCTCTGATATAATGCCCCATAGCATGAATGATTTACTCCGATCCGATGCCCCATAGCATGAATGTTTAACCCTGACCAAATGCCCAATGGAATGAATGTTTAACTCTGATCCAATGCCCCATAACATCAATATTTTACTCTGATCTTATGCCCATATCGTGAATGTTTAACCCTGATCCATTGCACAGAGCATGATTTTTTTAGCTATGATCCAATGCCATATAGCATGGATGTTTAACTCCGATCCAATGCCCCATAGCGTGAATGTTTAACCCTGGTCTAATGCCCCATATCGTGAATGTTTAACCCTGATCTAATGCCCCATATCGTGAATGTTTAACCCTGATCCAATGCCCCATAGCATGAATGATTTACTCCGATCCAATGCCCTATAGCATTAATATTTTACTCTGATATAATGCGTCGTAGCGTGAATGATTATCTCTGATCCAATGTCCTAAAGCATGAATGTTTAACTCCGATCCAATGCCCCATGTCATCAATGTTTAACCCTGACCAAATGACCTTTAACATGAATGTTTAACTCTGATTCAATACTCCATTGCGTGAATGTTTAACTCTGATATAATGCCCCACAGCATGAATGCTTAACCCTGATCCAGTGAACCATAGCGTGAATGTTTATTTCTGATCCATTGAGTCATAGCGTGAATGTTTAACCCTGATCTAATGCCCCATATCGTGAATGTTTAACTCTGATCTAATGCCCCATATCGTGAATGTTTAACCCTGATCTAATGCCCCATATCGTGAATGTTTAACTCTGATCCAATGCCCCATAGCGTGAATGTTTAACTCTGATCCATTGAGTCATAGTCTGAGTGAAAACTCTGATCCAGTGAGTTGTAGTGTAAATATTAACTCTGACCCTAAGTGGCATTGTGTGAATGATTTACGCTAATCATTGAGTCATATTTTGTTTTTGTCTGAACTTTATCCATCTTGTGATATTATGTTGTTTTTTACTTTTCCCCTAATTAAAGTGTACAAAAGAGTTAAAGGTATTTAAAACTGTCCTACTACAAACTATTATAACGTTATCTGGCCGTTAACAGCTATCGTACTCCCCTACAATTTTAAAAAGGAAACATTCTTGGTATCCATGCTCCCAGCATTTAGTTTATGTCTTGCATTGAACAGCATTTCTTAAACATAGACGTCGTACATCTACCGGACTAAAGCGTCAGCATTTATAGATACAGGTATGTTAACCATAATTATAATCTTATTGTTGTTTCAATGAGTAATGTTTAAGGGGAGGATTTAATAACTGTTCAGAGTCGTTTAAAAGTCTTATTATTGTCTTTCATTTTGTACATTTTCTAATATATAATATTGCAGCTGCCATATGCAATGCAGATAAACGATCCACTGGTTTAGTCCTCGACTAACTTTTATTTCGTTGTTCTAGTTCTTGTATTTGTAAATATTATCGACCTTTGACCTTGTGTGTTTACCTTTGATACGTCTTCTTTCTTATTTTACTTTCATACACAGCCTGTAAAATAAGTTTACTGTTTTGTCATATTCAAAATAATTCTTTGAACATTTACAGTTTGGAATTGTTTTTTATATATATATATTTCTTTTTACTGATTTGCATTCTGTAGGTGGTCGGTTGTCTGTTTGTACCGACATATTACTTGTGTGTATCCAAGTTAAACAAAAGTACAGATAACAAAAATCAATACTAAAACCTTTATTCCGTTTATTATCTAAACCACAGGGACCTGCGAATTTGTAACAGCGAAATATGGACCTAAATCAAGGTGTTCAGAGTAATTTTACATGTTTTAGAGGTTTAGATCGACTTTTGGTAAAATTGACACCCCAATGGCAATGATCATATAGCGGTGTAGGGAGGTTAACTTCTCCGCTATATGATCATTGGGAGTGTCATTGTTACCGAAAGTTGATTTAACCCCCTAAAACATGTAAAATAACTCTTTAGTTTAGGTCCAAATATAGCTGTAACAAATTCTCATTCTCTGCTTTTTTGTCCCTCTGTCTCCTTTTGACATATGTACCTATATACGTAGTTTGGGACTCATATATATGCTAGTGGTATGCGGATAAGCGACAGTGTTATCAAGATTTATTGCCCGAGATGAACAAAAACATTTATTTAAAGTGGCCGACACAAGTTGCCCCTGACGCCGTGGACCGATCGTGCGCCTGCATTCTCAACTTGGCGGGGTTCAAAAGACACCAAACGCTAAAAAAAATCCTCTCTGTCACTAGGTCATAGTTTAGATCATTAGACAAATTTGTATTACATAGATAAGCCAAATAGATGAAATATTTCCCAATACGATAGCTGCTAGCTGCCATGTACTTTTTCAAAACACTTTCATTGCATCAGACTTGTTATATTTAGTATTTCATTTAAATATGGTAAATGCAAATCAAATGAATCATAGACAAGGCTTTCAGTTTACACTTAACATTAAGCAAACTCGGGAGTCAAATAGAAATTTCCATGAAGTTTGGAAAGGTATAAGATTTTCTAGGTAACCTGTCCTCGAAATCCTGTTCACCCTGTCACAAATAACGAGCATCAGGCCTAAGGCTGATGATGCTGATTTGACAAGCGACTAGTTCTATATATTCCCAAGCTAATCTTGGAGAACAAATGTGTGCAATATTTATTTTTTTACTTATTTAGACATTTCTGCAACCGAATTTAAGGACATTATATTTACTTTGGACGATTCATTTAACGCCTGTTCTGACTTAATGAATGCACATATTTACAAAGATTAACCTCCTGTATTTTGAAATTTATATAGTTATACTGTCGCAAATTGAGTCTTCCTGGCGATGCAGAGCGGACAGTTTTAGTAAAACGTATATTTGCGATATTCACATAATCACAATACAACCGCAAACCAAAAATACAGTAGGACTATCCCAATGGAAATGACGATCACTCTGCCGTGGATTGGTGACGTCAGGAATATTCAAAGTGAGGCGGAATAATATTGACCTTTCGGGTCACACTATTGTTCGTGCCGTCATGAATATTGCCTGCGCAAGCTACGCCGAACAGAGAGTATGGTCAAACCCAGTGCTTTCGTTTTGTGACATCATAACGAGGCTTACCAGGATTCTGGTAAATGATTTCATTGGTCAAAGGTTGACACACCCGTTTCAACTTTTGAAGTCAGAATTTTAGTAGCCCAAAATTACATTGAATATTTTAATTCAAGAAAAAATCATCTGTATATGCATTCCTGAAGTATCCATGTTTTCAGTATTAACGAAAAAAAATGTAAGAAAATACTTCAAAAAGAATGATTTCATGTATTTTCATTGGATATTTTACAATAAACCATGAAGCTAACAAGGCTATTGATACAAGTCAAGCCAGATTACCTGAGTGAGAACTTGAAGGTTTTTTGAATGGTGTACAGGTAAAATCTCACTTGCTTTGCATGCTTTTTTCCAACTTCAGTCAGCCTTGTTGGCTTTGTGCTTAGTTATGATTTATTCAGTGGAAATATATGGCATTATTCTGGAGATTTGACACATTTTCTTACATTGTTCTCGATAATAGTGAATACACGGGTACTTCAGGAATGCATGTATGGGTAAGTTTTTTTCATTAATTTCATTATTCATTGAAATGTTTAATGGCGTTGACATAACGTCCGGAAACGAAAGTAAAAACACTGCCCTCTGGTGATGGTAATTTTAAAGTCCTGTGTTTGACCAGACTCTTGAATTACAAGTGCTCAAGCGTCTGGTTGAACGAGACTATCATGAATGATCCACATCATGACCTGTCAGGGTCAGTCGGGATGTTTGACGTCATAAACAATCGCCATCCGGGCTTCATATGCAAATCGCAAGTTATTCTGATTGACCAATCAAATGTCGTGTTACATCTAAAATTATAATAATAATGTTTATTTCAGGAAATAGATCATAGACATCACATGTAACATGACAGTTGACATACATATTACAGTACAACATACATATATATTACTAAAAAAAATAAACAGAATATCACAGGTTTTTGGGGCAGTCCAAGGAGCAGGTGATTGGGGCATCCCCTTCCTACTAGCTCTCCAGACGCTCAAATATTAATGAACCTACATGCATTAAATTATCGTCAGAAATAAAATATTGTATTATCTTAAAATATTATATTATATATGAAACTAAAATTCATAACTGATTTTAAGATATAGGTAATCATATTTATACAATTAATACAACACAAACATTGATCTATAAACCTGAGGATAGCCCATGAAAGTTCGAAAGCTTATTTCCAATGGGGTCCATGTTATATTGATCACGGGGAAAGATTTTTGCAGGATGGAATGAATGACAACATATTAACTTTATTGTCAGTACCTATAGTAATTCCGTAATGACTATATAATCTAAAAAACACACATATATATATGTTCAGGTTTAAATAGTTAGCCCAACTTAAAATATGTAACGTGACTTTCCAACTATTTATATTTAAAAAAAAAAAATAATAATAATACGGTACAGATGTCGTCAGCACGTGGATTGCAGTGACACAAAGTTTGTTTTCTTAGGGTTGGGGATCCCCTACCAGCAAAGTCTACTTGTTTTGTGCCACCGCAATCACATATAATTGGGTTATCAGCATGAATTTTGAAATTTAAAAGCGAGATGTTTCTTCTCAAACGAATTAAAATAAAAATAATTTTCTATCAGCATAAATATGTAAACATATGGAGTTAACCATTCAGATTGAATGCCATATTCCTATCTGTAAACTACTTTATATCAATTCCGCATGGAAAAACGATAACATACAAACATCCTGAGTGATTAAACACGTTTACAAGCATTGTGTTCACCGTTATCACTTTAACCATAGACCTAAATTAACGGGACCTTTACTTTAGGTCTCTGCTTTAACCTACATTAGATACAGCGAATCATTTTTTGACAATGTATAGGATTTTATATACATCCCTTTAACACTAATTATTAACGTTGATTACATAGATGCCCTACTCTATATCACATGATATACATTTTGTACTTTTTTTATATATATTTTTTTCTTTGGAAGGAAAATCAGCTTTTTCATTTATGCTGTCGAATCATGATCAGTTACTTTTACATACATTCTGTACGGTTAATCAACTTTCAGATATTTTTTGTAAGGTTAATTATAATTAAATCCGTTCCGAAATAATGTTTGTATATATTACATGTATGTACATAAAATAATTTTACATAGATTATTAACGGCGAATCACTTTTACATTGACGTTTTACTTTTAATCACTTTTATATACCACTTGTACATTAAAACACTCTAAAATATTTATGTACGGTAAATCACTTAGCTTACATTCCCTTTGATAAGTACACAAATTCTGTACAATAAACCACTTCTAAATATATTCGCTACAGTAAATCGATGTTCTATACATTCCGTACTTTAAATTGCATTTAAGCAAAAAAATAAACCATGAGCTCGGAGTGATCAAATATAAAGCTTTTATGGGATATATACATATATGTTACCTAAATAAATATATGATCTTATCATTTTTGGTGAGGTGTCTTTCAGTATGCAGAAGTGAGGTGTCTTTCAGTATGAAAAGGTGAGGTGTCTTTCAGTATGTAAGGGTTGGGTGTTTTCAGTATGTAAAGGTGAGGTGTCTTTCAGTATGTAAAGGTGAGGTGCTTAATAGTGTTTTTCAATTTTTTTTAAATATTTTTTTTATTCCAATTCAATTCAATTCAAGTTTATTCCGGGGGCCTTACGACCCATAGGCATACATAAATATAATACATAATATTACATACATATTTGGAGAGTGATCTCTCATGACATGCATACAGAACACAAAAAGTAACATATACATGTCTGTATACGATACACAAACAACATACTGACAGAGACGGGAGGTAACTCCGCGGCAATGTTATCTTGATTGCGATTACATAAATGCCGAGTCAATCTACCAATTATTACTAAGTTTAATGAATATACATTAATAGCAATAATACTTGTATTATACAGACAGACAAACACACACAGTTTTTCAGTATGTAAATGTGAGGTGTTTTTCAGTATGTAAAATGTATGTTAGATTGATTTGTCGAAAGATTTACAATGATTTTTGTGAAGCTGATTTACTGATTAACTGTACAGAGTATAAGTAAAATAATATACAATCAAAAGTATGATAAATATATAGTTACTGTGATTTGATGTATGCAATGTATGTTAAAGAATTGTATTGTACGGAAAGTATTTCTTTATTTTTTTATTTTTTTTTACATAATACAGATTATAGTGCGAGGTCGCAAATCCCAAAACAACCATTCACATAGATTTCGCTTGTGACTGCTGTTATTCTTTGAATGTCTGAACATGTTAAATGTCTTTGATATTGACTTAGGTGTAATTTCAACAATCATATCTGCTCTGAACAATTTTTAGATTCCTTTCTCGACATGTCTGAGATGAAAGCTGACGAAGATGGAATGACGCCGAAGACAGTGCCACTAGATGAATTACTGCCAAGACTAGGACACCCCGGGAAGTTCCAAGTAATCACCTTCCTCCTGCTTGCCCTAAACTACTTGTCCGTGGTTTTTAACCACGTGTGTATGGCGTTCTACGGCTCCGCGCCTAAACACCAGTGTCAAGACAGTTCCATAGAGGCTGGAAATACCACCATTCTGGGTGTGACGTATGGAAAGTGTGTAACGTCCTACATCCTGGGAGATGGTCAAAACACGACAATCACTTGCGAGTCTGACCCAAACGGGCGCTGGAACTATTCACTATATACGGATCGCGAGACCACCATCGTCACACAGGTGTGAACAAATGTCTTCAGTTTTGTCTCTTTAATGATTGGTATGCTTAATCTGGCAAGTTGTAATTGCATATCTGTTCAAAGCCCTCCTTACAACAGTTAAATGATTCTTTGAAACATATATACAGGATATACAGAAAACCAATCAGATAAAATTACCCAACGTTTAAACTTCATAACTTCCATTGATCCTCATATATTGGTGGAAATGTTAACATTTCTAACAATTGATATGTTTACAGTGGGATCTAGTATGTGAAAATGGCTACCTTGGTAAGCTGGCTACCACTATATACTTCCTCGGGGTAATGACAGGAGGTGTGCTGTTTGGGCATATCGCTGACTTCTTTGGACGGAAGTGGACCATGTTGCTTTGCTTGTATACTCCTGTTGCCATAGGAATTGGTATATACTTCGTTGAAACCTTCACCGAATTTGTTGTTTTGAGATTCTTTCAAGGAGTATTTATTCAGGTAAAGTTGATACGTTTGCTTTAAATGAAAATAATACCATATGCTTCCATTTTTTTCATATTTGCCAGTGAAGGAAATGTGAAAGCGTTTATTCTAGCTAACATCAGTGATATACGCCAATTGTTCTGTGTAGGGCGATTTTATCATCAGACAAAATATGCAGACTTTAAATTTTGAGATAAACCATTACTAATCCATAGCAGTGCCGTTTTATCTACCAGAAGCGAATCTGCAGGGTGTATAGTTTGTACATTTGTTTGGGCCGAGTATAATTCTGTATTTACACGCTATACAAAGGTGGGGTCAACATTTGGCCCCAGCTCCGATTTCTTTTATTCTTTTACCATATGTAGATACAAACAAAAAAATGATCAATAACTGCTTCAATGATTAATTACTACTGATAACCGTAGGGGACCTCCTTGTATAACACCAGGTTGCGTGACGGGGGTATCCTAACAAAATGAAAGATAAATATCACAGGCAAATGTTATTTTGAAAATGAATTATGATAGTGTATAAAGTTACTGTTATTTTGATACTAAATTTGGCATGTTGGTATTTAATTAGAAAAACATACAAATTTTCACAAAATTAAAAATATAACCTAAATTGTCATCTTGTCTATATATAGTTACGATGGTAGTCAATATTTTGAAAATCTTTAAAAACTGTCTATATATATATATTCTATCTACAGAATCATTTCTTTTTGTAATATCAAAACCGGAAAAGCACTTTTGTAGCATGCCAAACATGGTCACTGCCCAATTTCACATTATCATGGAGATTTGATACCGATACTTTGTCTGTTTCTGTATCATATGAAAACACTTTATTGTATTACGCATATTTTAAAATTATGTGCAGCAGTAATAACTCATGAATATGTATTCTGCCGAAATAATCTTTCCTCTTGAGAACTACTAAGGTTGAGATTGTGCTATAGACAAAGCTATGCAATTATATCAAAACAATAAAATATTCTGAATTGTAAAACTATTATACACTTTATAATACCCCCACGAAACGAAGTTAGGGGAGGGGGTTATACTGGACTCAACTTGTCTGTCCGTCCGTCGGTCCGTATAAAAAGTTTGTCTGGCCAACTCCTTTTAAAGAAATGGACCAAATTCAACAAAAGTTTCCACATATAATAATTACCACCTGAAATTGTGCATCAAGGTATTATTTTTTTTATTCTGACATTTTTTTTACAAAGTTATTGCCCTTTGTTAAAAAAAACTTGTCCGGACATATCCTCCAAATCTAAGGGGTTAATTGCAACGAAAGTTTTTAGATATGATAATTACCATCTGAGGTTGTGCATCTTGGTATTATTAATTTGTGTAATCTGACCCTTTTTTACGGAGTTATGACCCTTTGTTGAGAAATACTTGTCCATACAACCTCGCAAAACTATGGGACCAATTTCAACGGAAGTTTACAGATTTGGTAACTGTCCCATGACATTGTGTGTTCAAGTGGTATGTTTTCATTCCGACCTTTTTAAAGGAAGTTATGGCACTTTGTTGAAAACATCTTTGTCTGCCTCATAAACTACTGGGCCGATTTCGATGAACGATACGGTAAATACCCTCTGATGTCGTGCATCAGGGTATTTTTTTTCATTTTGACCCTTTTTAATGAGTTATGGTCCTTTGTTAAAAATCTTAGTCTTGACTTTTTCTCAACTACGTGAACGATTTTAGCAAAACTGGTTCATCTGGGCTAACACGATTTGGTATGCAAGTATGTTTTGGCATAGGTAGGGAGAACAGGATGTATTTTCGTGACCTATATACTTAAATACTTACTGGTGGGAGACTATGGATTGCTTTTCAATGCCTTTCCTTAGTTTGCCTTCAGCTTACAGTTCTAGTTTATATAGAGGCGGAGGTATTAGCCTTTGGCTTACAGTTCTTGTTAATTTGTTTTTGCCTATTACCCATTCATTAAACAAAGTATGCAGGAATACTGTATTACATTATTTTATATCGTTAAATCTAAACAAATAAAGCAAGAAAAGATATCCTTGACTGCTCCCCATACAAAAGATTTGTTTTAATAAATTTGATTGTTGTGACCTTGAACGAAGGTCAAGGTCATTTACGTTTATAAAACTTAAATCCAGTCACATAAACAACCTACTTGCCAAATACCAAGATCCAAGGACATTTGGTCATGAAAAAACACAAGTTAAAGGAAAAGTGGAAAGAAAGCTATGTTTTCCTTTTTTTGAATCAAAAGTGTTATACGACAAATTTACCGGTTGTAATTTTGTTTTGAAATTCCTAATGTTGAAAGATATTATTGGAAGCCAATTGTAATGCAAGTATGAAAAACAGAATCGTTTCAGAAGTATGTACATTAACGTATCAAAAATGGAAATTTTCTCATTAGTAATGAAATTTCAAATACGTTTCTGCTTATATCTTCAATAAAAAGAACAATTCTTTGTTGAAATAGTGTAATATTCGGTATCAAAATAACAGTTGGAATATGTTGCGCACGCTGATGATATACGTTTATTGTAATTGTGTCATTTAAATGCTCTAGGAGGAATTGTATTACCGCACCTTTAACACCCACACAGGTGTCATTCATTGAGGTCCCATTTATCATAAATGAATTCTGAAACTAACTCTTCCTGATTTAAGCTTCCTATACCCATACCATTCCTAGCGGGGGCCGACGCTAATGTTAAATCTCCATAGGCGTTGACCCTGCCTTTGATTATTCTTTTCTCTGTATTACTGTACATCCGGCATATGAATCGCCTGCATAGATATCAGTTAAACACGGTTTCTACAAAACAGGCATATTGCTTATAATGTTTCTGTTTTGAATTGTTTGAACCTTGGGAAGAAATTTACTCATGAAAATCTAAATCAATATTTACATCAGCGCCAGTCTCTATCTTTACTTACAACATTACCAACAGGGATTACTTACTACTACTTCTTAGAGAGGGTAAGCTTCTTTTGCTTCATAAAGACAGCCGTCGTGTAAATCTAGGTCAAACCCGAAACAATTCGGAAACGGAAACCTAGCGAAATCAGGTCAAAGTGATGACCAAATATTTTAAGTGAAGATTGGAAACCTCACCTGTAGATGAATATGACTGCAATTTAGAAGCACAAATTCGATATAACAAAACAAAAAATCTTATAGATAGCCGTATCCTATAATTCAGGGACTGCAGACGTCTACGGTTGCCCTAGTGATGGAGATGGCGGTTCGGGAGTATCGTGGAATCGCCGGTGCAGTGTTCGAGTGTTACTGGGGAGCAGGAGTACTGATCCTGGCAGGCATAGCCTACTTCATCCAAACGTGGCGATACATCCAGCTGGCCATTTCCCTTCCTGCTATCCTGCTTGTGTTCCATATATGGTAAAAGACGGAGTTATTTGATTTTGTTGTTGTATTGGTCTGATATCAATCGGCACCTCATAGGCTTGGTATTATAGAAACCATTTACAAAACACTTCATTTAATTGTGTCATATTCTAGCGTCAATAATGAGAATTATATAAGCTATACAGAGGGGGGAAATGATTAATGCATGTTTATTCCATAAAACACCATGAAAGCATATCACAGTCTTTTCAATGTATCTTAGTTTTTTTTCTCTTTTTTCAAATTGTGTAAAAATTATAAAAAAATAAATATATTATAATTTCAAAAATTAATCACCAAGAATATGAATTAAGGAAGCGCATATTTTAAAACAAATAGTTGCACGTCCAAACAAAGTAAAACTTTTTAACTCAATTCAGCGAGTCGCTTCATAGAAATTCAAGATACTCTGATATGAAATATTTGTGTATATAAAACGACTTGCAAGTTCACCACGACTAATAGAATCTATCACTCCTGTGTGATGTAGACAGAGATATCTCAACCAGAGGGTGATATATTTGTTTAGGTTAAGTAAGAGGCTTTGCCGAGTGCTAAACCTAAAAAAATATCTCATCCCGAGGATTAAGATATCTCTGTCTACATCACACAGGAATAATTGATTATTTTTCTTCCATATTTTCATACCGTATCATCAATGGCGCATGAATACACACATAGCCGCTGTGCTGCAAATGTGTGTAAACGTAACGTAACGTAAATAAAAAAATAGGAGTCATAATTAAATTAAGATATTTAATACATTAGTAGTATTAGCAACGTTATATTGTATATTGACATTTTTTGTTATAAGATTAATCGATATAGTGTCTTTAACGAAAACACTCAGAACTATTTGCACTCGTTGACTTCACGCTTCGAAAAATTCACTCGGAGTCAGAATACAACACCCTCGGTCGTTTCGTTTTGGGGGCTGACATCGTTGTGTTAATGTTAATAGTAATGTTAAATGTTCCTCCAGTGATTGTTGCGTCTTGGAATATACTCGGGATTTCACATCTTTGGATTTACGAACGCTTTCAAGTTCGCACAAGGACATGCTGTTGTGCGCTGTAGTTTTGTTGACTGTTCGTTTGACATCGGCCGATGTGAGGTAGGTGCACTAAACCCAGTGTGTCGTCCTAAGTCCGATTGTACGGTTTCATTGGAGCGATTGGTCATTGAGAGAAGAGTTAATTGTTGACTGTTCTGTAATTGTTCAATACATGTGTGTAAAAGTGATGTAATCGGTTTTGCTAAAAGTGCACAGGATCACAGGTCATGTTGAAAGAAGTGCGTTTTCTGTGACGTAATAGCGCGTGCCAGCTGTCTTGATCGAGGTAGATCAAGGCAGGTTTATCTTTTCCCTACCAAAAAAGGGAATGTACCTGTGAAGTGTGGGAGAATAATGAAATATCTCACCCCCTTCACCCCATTGAGGGTGAGATAGGGGAATCTCAACCAGAGGGAGAAGATTCTTATGTGTGGTAACTTAAGAATCTTTCCCCGATAGTTGAGATTCCCCCATCTTACCCACAAGGGGGTGAATGATTATTTTTTTATTTGCATACTAGACCGAGATATCCGCATTTCCGGCGGTGCTGGAAAATTCTATCCGACCCATGGGTCTAGATCGCTTACACGCGCAGATTGGCGGGGGACTTATGGTGACCTTTCGGGGTTACGCTATTGTTCGTGACGTCATTTTATGACGTTTTGGGCTCATTCGGGGTCATTGACGTCACAAGCAATTGCCATCTGGGCTCCATATGCAAATGAGAAATGTGCGGATAATTTAAAACTTTACTAGAAAAGCAGCTGTTTTTACGGGTTTTAGGTAATAAGCAAGAAATAGAATCCATCCCTGATGTGAGGTAAGGATAAGGTTATTCAAACCCTCGGGATAAAATATTGAGCAAAAGACCCTCGGCAAAGCCTCGGGTCTCCTGCTCAATATTTTATCCCTCGGTGTTTAATAACCTTATGCACAACTCACATCAGGGATGGATTCTATAAGTCCAGGGTAAGAGAACGAAGTGCCTTTTTCGTCTGTTATTGTATTATACGGACTTGTACCATTTCTTGATAAAATAAAAAGCTATTTGTTTACCTTGAATTGTAGAATAAAGTGATATCAGATCGATTAAGTAATTCGGTCGGAATCTCAAAAACTGCGCAACAAAATTAAACTGGATACAACAGTACATCTTTTTATCAAAGAGATGGATTAAAGACCTTTTAATATGAACATCTTTTTGTAGATTGTAATGGGTTTTATCAGATTTCTACTAAAGACATATTACAGTGATTGTATGATTACTTCTAACTTCGAAATTCAATCTTTACTTTATTTTATACCTTTTTTCATCCCTGTACAGTTACTTTTTATGGAAAGATTCTTGTAACACAACCAATAAGTGTTTCTATGTGACGTTTCGATGACTACTAGTACGGCATGTACGATTCAGTTTCGCTTTGTTTAATGCTTGGTCATAGATGTGGGAGAGTCTATAAGCCCCCTCATCTCGATTAAGAACTGAGGCGTATTCAGATGGCTTCCATTATCTGCCGCTTGAAAAGATTACTTTCTCTGTACAATACTTTGGAGTTATCCAAGTCAATCATGTGATTTTTTGCAATGTTAAGAATGACCTGGATAGTTACGTTGTGTCAGTTGAATAAAGTTTGCAGATTAATAACAATGTTTTCACTTCGTTTTGCAGCTTCGATTTAATCAAGAAAAAAGATTGCGAAATTAACATCCTAGTAACGTGTGACTCCATATCTCACAATATAGTTTACTGAGAGCGATTTGTCTTGATAAAAATAATCATTAGAAGTAAAAGTAAAGAAAGCCACCATGTAAATATTTAGTACGTCGATGTAGAATGATACACAAAGTAGAAATAAACTTCACCTTTTGTCAAATTAATCCTTTAAGAACTCATCAGTCCATGTTTAAAGTGTTCCAGAAATATCTAGAAATACAGCAAAAGGGGAATTTGCCCACAAACCTGTGTGCGATTTTGGCTACAACATGTTTGAACTAGCTTTTCAAATTTCTAATATTATATCCAAAATAACAAGGAAAGCATGAAATGAAATTTATAAGAATCCGTTAATTTATGATAGACAATCGACACTAAAAGATTTTTATGTTTTCAGCTGGACTCCCGAATCTCCACGATGGTTGGTCATGAAAGGGCGGTTCGATGACGCGGAGGGTGTGGTGAGAAGAATCGCCAAGTTCAACAAATTACCGTACCCAGGAGATATTATGAATGCTATCCGGAAGGAGGGAGTCCCCTTGGACGATAAAAACAGAAAACGGTTCACGGCCCTTGACCTTATGACGTCATCAATAATCAGAAATAGGACATTCCTGTTGTTTTATCTTTGGTTGGTGTTTGACTTTTCCATGCTTGTTTATACTTTTTTTACATACTCCATTATCAAAAGACCATTAAATGAAACATCTTTATATATAATCAAAAACAAATGGAGTTGTCATCAGATTAATTACGATATTCCATTCAAGTCAAAAAATAATGGCTCTGGTGGTGGACGTCCAGCAGTATTATGTGATTTCAATACCTTGCCAATATTTGTATTGAAGTTGTTTTTGGCAGATGGGAAACTGGATATCTGATCATTGTATTGTTACTTAATATTTGTTCTAAAATTCGGATTGTAAAATATCTGAGATTACAAAAATTCCTGTTCCTTGTGGAGAGTCTCACATATTACTGTATACATAATAAGATAACTGTAAAGTACCCTGTACATTTTTTCGTCAAAAATATTTGCATCTTACATTAAATAAATGGTTCTATCAAAGATACTATGCCTATTGAAGTTAGCTTACCTGATATATTGTTAGTTCCATGGAGTCGTACAGAAAAGATATATAACTGAAAGTAAAGCATAGGTACTACAAATGGTAAAACAGTTACATGAGAAAAAATACAAACTATTAAGCAGAGAATGAAGAACAAAACATATTTCCCAAAAATAAAACCAAGGGTTACTCTTACTTACGCTCTCTGCACCCCATGAATATGTCATTATGAAATCGAAAGCTCTGTACGCACCGCCTTGTGGACGATACACGTTGACAAGTTTGATCCTTTGATGTACATCAAAAGAAATGCACGGCAAATTGACCGGCTTTGATGTCGAGCGTCGCTCCTTTGTAATTCCTTTATGATATTTCACAGGAAATGTGGTAATTATAACTAAATTTGGTTCAGGATATTATTTCTCTTTATTGAACTTCCATTTTCACCTGTTTAGTAGATCATAATGTTTTGTCTTAAAGTCCCCAGGGATGTTTTCTTCGTATCACGTCTGGGTTCTGATTTTTATTATGTTTTACCTGAATTTATAGATCTATTTCGTTAACAGGTTCGCTACGTCTATTGGATATTACGGCCTCACATTCCAAATCACCAGCCTTGCAGGGAACAAGTATCTAAACTTCTTCATCGGCGCATCAGTGGAAATGGTCGCCTATATTAGTGTGATATACATTATCAAACGGTGTGTGAGCTCATTAGGCGAACAGACTAAAAGGATCATTGGTTGAGAAGTTTTATATAGATCATACAATGACAGTCTAGACATCTCAATAACAGGTTGAGTTTATTCTAGAATACTCGTTGGAAATTTTATGTTTTGTAATCAACATAATACAATCATGTTACTTTAAACACACTGACATGTACTTGGAAGAGTTAAGCATTTATTCGAGAATGTTGAATGAATAACCTTCTAATTTTAATTGAAAAGGAGCATGTTGACATTTTACCCTTTAGATTCGGCCGACGTAAGCCCCTGACTTTCTACTTCCTACTTGCCGGATCTTGCTGTATTCTGGCTGGTGTGATACCGTTTGCTGGAACAGGTAAACGGGAGAAACAATATGATATTGCTCTATTAACGCATCCATTCTAAATTTGACTTCATGTTAATTGGTCGCTTTTTTACGTTGACGTTTAATTTAGGTATAAATTGTTATTGAACTGAATCTTGGCTGCGATTTAGTTCCTTTGAAAAATTTATTGTTAACTCATTGGTGTATCCTTCTTTTTAGGCACAAGCCAAAGAGTCATGCTTACGAAACCATGAACATTAATTTTATTAATATTCATGTCCTAAAACTTCTTATGCGAGAAAAGGAATTATTTATTCTACTTTTTACATATTATTAATATATTGTTTTATTTTTAAGGTGACGACATCTCTAAAGCATCTACCAGTTTCGCAATCATTGGTCGATTTGGTATGGGCGGCGTATTCAGCGTTATTTTAGTGTATACATCTGAGTTGTACCCTACTGTCATCAGGTACGTGTTGGAACAACCTAACAAATTCTTTGTTGTAAAACTTGATCACAGAATGACCTTTTTGAATGCTTGGTTATACGATCTGGTAATACATGTTTTTCACTTATGTTTGATATATAGCTAAGTTTCTGTGCTGTTTAAGAAAATCTAACTAATTATGTTTTCATTAATTTGATTATTACTGTTTATTTTGAGATAATATCTCACAAGATAATTGACGTCACAGAATTGATTCCCAGTGTGATATCACAATGAAGACCAAATCAAACTGCCATATGAGTTTCAACTCTTGTTTTCATAGGTTAACTATGTCGGAAAAGCATAGTAGGATGAACATAATCGCCTTATACTTATAAATGTTTATACAGGAGTATCGGAATGGGTGGCTGTTATTTCCTGACAAGAGTAGGAGGCCTACTTGCTCCGCAAATTCTCCTGCTGGTATGTGTGCTGCTCATACATTACTCGGGTATTAGTGTAAGAAGGCAGAAAACAACGTTTGATTAGAATTTAAACAAGGTTTTTAAAAACTCAATGCAACTGAAAATGTTAACTTTGAACTCGTCTCAGGAAAGAATTCAACACCATTTTCATTTTACGGTGTTAAATCTTCGTCAAAAGTAATTAAACAACAAAGGGTTATATAAGTCTCTCTCAGGCGTTCTGTAAATTCATTTAACCTTTATCATGTTTTTATAGTCTTGAATAGAGGCTATGTAAGTATTTATCAGGCGTTGTATTTATCAGAAGTCAAGTCCCTTTCATGTTATGCTATTTTTAATTTAATGTATTTATTGTGATTATTGTTCCACCCAACCTTAAATAACTAGTATATTGACGTCATATATTGATATATGCTATTGCTATTAATAAAGTAATACTTCTTGTACTTGTATCTTATCAGGGATTAAGTGAGGCGTTATGTAAATCTTTATCAGAATTTATGAAAAAAGTTATCAGAGGTTTTATAAATATTTACCAACTCATTAAGAAATATTATGTAAGACATACAAGCATGTATAACTTAATTCAACTACTTGTGAGAATGTATCCGACATTAGAAATCTTGGCAAATTTTTAATACAAGCAAACAAAAGGATATCTGAGTCGATTGCTGGTTAGTGTTCACTCTCCACAGTGTGTGTGTGTGTGTCATATTGTATGTTGTCTCTGTATTGTTTTGTATACATGTTATAACTGATAAGTCAATCGACTTAAAGTAAATAACTTGAACAACCAGGTGTTATGCAAATCTTTATCAGGTTTTATGTGAATAGTTATCAGAGGTTCTGAAAAATCTTTATCAGGTTTCATGTAGACAGCTAACAAATGTGCTGTAAATATTTATCAAGCGTTATGTAAATCTTTATCAGAGATTATATAAAAAAAAATATCACAGGTTCTATAAATATTTATTTTGTGTTATATTAATCTTCAGGTTTTATTTACAAGAAAAAACTTTCAGAGGTTGTGTAAATATGTATCAGTCTTTATACAAATCTTTATCAAGTTTTATGTAGAGAGCTAACAAATGTTCTGTAAATATATTTCATGCGTTATTTTAATCTTTATCAGAAATTATGTAAAAAGTTATCAGAGGTTCTATAAATATTTGTTTTGTTTTATATTAATCTTTATAAGGTTTTATGTACATGAAAATAGCTATTAGAAGGTGTATAAATATTTATCAGGCTTTATATAAATATTTATCAGGTTTTATGTAAATATTTGTCAGGCTTTATGTAAATATTTACCAGGTTTTAGGTTAATATTTATCATGTTTTATGTAAATATTTATCATGTTTTATGTAAATACTGATCAGGCTTTATTTAAATATTTCTCAGGTTTTAGTTCAATATTCATCAGGTTTTATGTAAACATTTATCAGGTTGTTTTGTAAATCTTTATCAGATTTTATGCATGTCCGTTTTTCACGTACCGTATTAACTATGTTTAATGAATGTTAATCAAAGTTAAGCAAAAAGTTATCAGGTGCTATGAAAGTATATTTAAAGCATTATGTACAAATAACAATGGTTTTATCAGGTATGATATATGTTGCTTATGTTTATTTGATTTTAATGATTTATCCCAACACATGTTGGATAAGCTATGTTTAATGTTACGTTTGTTGATATTCAGGGTGACTACACGCATAAATCGGTTCCAATCATAGCATTTGGTGCGTTGAGTGTGATTGGTGGATTTTTAACATTGATTTTACCGGAGACACTTGGGAGAAAGCTTCCGGATTCCATTGAAGATGCAGAAAAAATGCGTGGTAACAAAATAATCAAGAACGTGGACGAGAGAAGTAATCGTACCCCAGCTGTAAATGAAGGCTTCAATGGAGATACTCAAACTCATTTGTAGCGATCTCGAAAAGGTATATCTCATTAGTGAAGTTCTTTCTATTTTCATTCCATTATTAGTGGAACAGGTTTTCGTTTCAGCAAAGCTCTACCGAGCTTAAACGAGAATTTCAGGACAGGATTCATTAATCTTATAACAATAAAAATATATCAAGATCTTTTTTATCGCTTAACTTCACGTTTAGTGCAATATGAGGTTTCTATTGTTTCGTCACAGTGTTATGACGTCAGGTCGATTGCCACCCGAGGTTATTGTGACAAGAGTGTATAAACTCCATAGCACAATATATGTCTGAATCAACTAAACATTGTATTTGATTTTTTTTTATCATAAATGTTATTGCATAATGAGGATTTTTCGTTGTGAAATATTGCACAAGACCGTCATAAAATAGTTAACACAGTATCAAACATAAAAGCATCATGTGGTTGACGTCATTTTTCCCATTTTCTTTGGCAGGACATCATCGTTTTCCGGAATCCCGGCAAAGGAACACATTAGTTTGCATACCTATTTGCGCATGTATTTCGCGAGTGGCTGCATCATGAAGACGCTAGCCAAGTCAAATTCCGGCAAAATTCTCGTATTTAGATGCACTTATGCTTTATCTAATGTGATAAATAGACCCAGAGGCGGATCCAAGGGGGTGGCACATGCTCTATTTAGCACACAGTTAATATGGAGTTAATATAGCAAAAGTGATATAAGGAAGAGTGTTGCATGAAACACAGGTAAATAACAGGTATTCACAGGTGAAATGTAGCTTTTAGGAAATAGTATATAATTGACTTTCCATTGTTTCATTAAACAACACCTGCCTGTTGTTGGTAACGATGTTAGCACTCAGAAAACACCCCGATAAATGTATATATATAGTGCATGTATTTCTTATTGTATAAGTAATGTTTTAAATAATGCTTTATAAAGTTAGTTTATTAATTACGGTATAACCCCAAAAAATAATCCGTTATTCCAGAATTATAGAAATAAATTTCGATATTTTATACATTTTTAAATTCGATAAACCATTTGTAAACAATATCTCAAATGATAATCAGTATATTGAATAATTCAGACAGATTTTAAATATGTCAATATTATGCTGAAACGGTGTGTTTTAAAGGGATGACATTTCAATCTTTCAAATGACAGTTTATGTATAAATGTAATACGTTGAATACCACTTAATAAAGATAGTTTGTACACAACAATTTAGTCGGTTTTGATCAATCAATATCCTACTGCTGAGGATGACATGAGGATAACATAACTAAATCAAGCTTAAACGTTAATACAACGTAGCCGATAATCGACGGAAAAAATGTTTTACCTTCATGCTAAATTGTTATATTTTACCATAGGAAGAAGTGCATTGACCAATGCATACAAAGACTAAGCACAAAATTAAATATATATGATTTTAATATTTATTCTCTATAAAATAAAACACACTGTCTCGCTGGTTCGAGGCCTACATAGGACGATCGCCAGGTACTTACCGCAGATCGATGATTTTCTCCTGTACTCTAGCTTTTTTAACTGACCATAGCTGTTTATAGGACGTGAAACAAAAACAAAGTAAAGTCTTTTGTGAATGAACAGATACACCTTGGTGCTGCTGTCTATAACTTCGCAAAGAAAAAAACTTAAGAAAAGAAGAATTTCTAAATAAAAACACTATTTAATTAGCGCGAGTACAAAATTGTGGTAAAACGGTCATCGGTTTTTCTATCGTTAAAGATCATGAGGTAGTTCAGAGAATTTTGTTAAAGAAATAAAGACAGGTATCAAACGTGATGTTTTCACGGTGTGAAAATATCATATTTGGAATTGATCAATCAGAACGGTATTTTCTATTCACTTCAGTGAAAGTCGCAGGTTTCGTGCTCAGACACAGACGAAGTGGTGGTAGGCTGTTTTGGTACGTCTTTGCTGCTCTTTTTGAAGTATTTAGTTACCTGCAAAAGTGATGCCATTTATGTAAGCAAATCTTACCAACTAATAGCAGCAAAAACAGTAGAATGGTAATGTTTTTTTCCCGTTGAATACCAATATTTTCTATATCAGGCGTTATGAAAGTAAATACCGGGCAGTATGTAAGTTTATATCATGCGTTATGGTCTTATTCTCCCACACTTCACAGGTACATTCCCGTTTTTGGTAGGGAAAAGATAAACCTGTCTTGATCTGATCTACCTCGATCAAGACAGCTGACACGCGCTATTACGTCACAGACAACGCACTTCTTTCAACATGACCTGTGACCCTGCGCACTTTTAGCAAAACCGATTACAAAATCACTTTTTACACACATGTATAATACACATGTAAACAAACCATGGCAAGCTCAGCATTCCGACAGTTCAAAATAGGCGAATGTGTTGCCGTGGGAAAAAATGATGAAAAGGGAAAAATTGTTAATGAATTTAATTGATGATAGTTCGGTGCATTGGGGTCAAAAATACAACTTTGCAGTGAAGGTATTTTTTACGGTATGAAAATGTGGGAGAAAAATAATCAATCACTCCTATGTGATGTAGACAGAGATATCTCAACCCTCGGGATGAGATATTTTTTAGGTTTAGCACTCGGCATAGCCTCGAGCTAAAGCTAAAAAATGTCTCTGTCTACATCACACAGGAGTGATAGATTATATTATTCTCTTACCCTGGACAGATTTATCCTTACTGCACGTCCTGACGTCACTGATGTGACCCGGAAGAAAAACTACTTTTAGGAGGTCACACACATACACAAGTTCGTCTGTTAACATTGTCGTGTTTACATTTGACATCAAAGAAGACGGAATTGATTTTAAAATGTTTAAAAGTATGATGCGTGAACCGTCTGACGCATACATATAATATTAATACGCTATCCACGTGTTCCTGTTTACAAACAATATGTCTTACACTTGGACAGGAACAACAGGGTAAGAGAAAAATAATCATTCACCCCCTCGGGGATGAGATAGGGGGATCTCAACCCTCGGGAGGAAGATTCTTAAGTTGCCAAACATTCGACAAAGCCTCGTGTTTGGCAAATTAAGAATCTTCCCCCCTCGGGTTGAGATCCCCCTATCTCACCCCCAAGGGGATGAACTATTTTATTAATCATGCGTTATGTAAGTCTTTATCAGACGTGTTGTAAGTCTTTTTCTGGCCTTATGGAAGTCATTATCAGGCGTTTTATAGGTCTCTATCAGGCGTTATGAAAGTCTTTATTAGGGGTTTAGTAAGTAAAAAGAGTATTTTTGTGATCCTGTAGTGGATGTGTTCCATATAAGCATGTTATAGCAGTTTTGTTGTAAGCGTGAAGCGGAACTAATTTTATGTACAGATAGGATAGTAGGTCGGTGTCAAGTGTGATAAGGGTTTCTATAGTAATTAGTGCCCTATCAGTTTTATCTCCGGTTTTTAGCTATAGGCACACAAGCACATTGAAAATGTGGAGTACGAGAGTACATTGTACATGAGTTACCATAAACAAAGCTGTTTATATTAACACATGTTTTATACTGATAATTAATCAAACGCTGCCCATTGAGGCTTCAAGTGAGGAGGCTCTCCAGAGTAATTGTTGTGCAATTTATTGAAGTGCATATGTACATCTTATGTAGGTTGACAGGCTTACAGGCAAGTACAGAAGAGACTGAGAGACCCTGTATAATGAAGACGTTGGAGTCAAACTTCTAGTAAAATTCTCGTATAAGATGAACTGGCCCCAAGATCATTAAACGATATGAGTTCTAAATTGGTCTTAAGTTTTGGCTCAGCCAGTCAAAAATAACGTCATGAAAAGTAACGTCATACGTGATTGGCTTAGCAAACATTCAATGATCCTGGGGCCTGATGTTTTGTTTCTGTTCCGTTAAATTAACTTTAAATGTCTACATGTACCTCTGATAATCTTGCTCTCTTCACGTTAAGTAGAGGCGTACCAATAGTTCACGTATCAATAAAACATTTTCAACTGATTCTCAAAGTTATGCTACAAAGGGCTGCGTAAAAAAATCAAAAGGTGAAAGGTAACATTCTTATTATAATGCATCTTCGCTAGCCAAGTGTTCGCTTCGTATACACTCCACTTACGAGGTAAGTGTTCGTAAGTGGAGTGTATACGAAACGAACACTTGGCTAGCGAAGATGATTCTAATGATAATAATTCAAATTAAGGGGATTTATATCTAAAGATATGGATGACGACTTAAGATGTACTTTGTGTGATATGTATGGATAGAATTGTATGCTAATATCACAAAGAACTCTTATTGAGGGATGCTTCTTGCAACCGAAACACGTATTTATAGACATCATTTTATTACCCCGAGTTCAAGACGTGAGATCATGGACTTGCATAGAGTTTCTTCACTTTTATCTGCTATTTCATGTCCATGCGATAGTGAAAATATGACACTGTACCTGTGTTCATGTCAATGTTTACACGATTATTCAACTATAATTAATATTTACTTCATGTAGTTTCCATTTTATATGAGACTGATGAAAGTCGTAGAAATGAGGATGAAGGTGCATGAGTTCTAGTAAGGAACTGTGTGTCTTGTTGCTGGGGGAGAAGATAAGAAATAAGGATGGGCGTGTCTGGATGGGTAAGAGAGCTGAGGAATACCAGTAAGGACATATACGGTTTGTTGGTTGAAGAGTTAGATAAGAAATGAAAATGTGCTTGTATTGATCAGCAAAGCAAGGAAAGTGAGGAGTACTAGTAAGGACATGTGCGTCTTGTTGGTGTGCAAAGGAAGATAAGAAATGCGGATGGGTTTGTCTGGATGGCATGAAACGTGAGTTATACTAGAAAGTCTTGTTAGCGGATGAGGAAGATAAGCAGTACAGATGTGATTGTCTGGATCAGTTTATGAAATAAGTTTTCCCCACTTACATTAATCAACCTTGTTGGCCCGGATGAAAGCGCACAGGGAGTTGTAATGTTGGAGTAAACTGGAGTACCCGGCAAAACCCCCACTTGGTCGAGCTGGTGACCCAATTCCTTTCCATATCCAGTCGGGGAATCAAAACCCGGCCGTCTTAATGAAAAACGAAGACGCTATTCACTTAATCTACGGAACACCTGATTACTTGTCCATAATCATAGAGTTATTGATTATTTTCATAGTTTTCTAAATAAATAAATGTAATGGAGACAATTACATATAAAATGCTATGTCGTACGGAAACCAACTAACCATGCCGGTATATATTTGGAGACTACTTCCATCCGCCTTGTTGTAATACATTGTAACTATCCGGCACCATGGCTAGAAACTGGCCAGCGGACAAAATTGTTCAGGAATAAATGCAGTTACTAGGGAACCCACATTTTATGTTAACAATTTCTAAAATCTTAAGCTATGTTTTGTAGATTGTTTACACGTTTTAACTGTTTCTTACATTTATCTAGATTCTGAAGTAAAAGCATTACGTATTTTATTTTTGATACAAAGTGACTCAACTTATTTCTATTCTTACACAGACGTGAACCAGGCTTTGTCCTTGGGCCTTATGGTAATAAGTTCTAATATCGAAATGTAAATTGGTCACACGTTTCATCAATATATTAACAGTAATAAGCTTATATCTATCAATCGAGTTTCTGATTTTTCCAAATACTTCATCGTAATCTATTTATCTCAATCAAATATTTTTATTTAGTTTAGCATTTTCCATATCTAAAAATGGCAACAAAACCTTATATACTGAACTTAAGAATGCTTTTCAGCCATATTTATGGTTACATAATTTGTCAATGCAATGATTGTAGTGCTGCTTTTGCGAAAATTTAGTGTTTTTAGTGTTGTTGTACTTTCTTATTCTCGGTGTTACACTACAGATAAGTATTACAATTCAAAGTTGGTCAAATATATACTTTTCATCGCATTCTTTATCCCAAAAATACTGTAAAAAAAAGGTTGATATTTATTCATTTGATTCATGACATATTAAAAGCAAATTATATCAGATCAGTTTGTTATTATTTTCATTAGGTATCTGGTAGTAATGAAAATATTCATATATTTTAAAAAAAAATTAAAAAAAAATGATAATCATTTCTTGCATTTTACGATACCATGACAATTCATCGATACAAGCAAACACAACACTGCTTTGCAAGTAAGTATTTACTGTGTATTCGCTCATGTATTGG